CATTGCAGGCTTCATCAAGCATTACTTTCAAAGGTTGTTCCAGTCGTGCATCTGATTATGATTTATGCTTGCTCAAGCGGCTGGAAGTGTATAAAGCGGCTTCAATATTTGAATGTCTTTTGGCTTGAACTAACAATCGAAAATACATGCTTGCCGTCTAGCTGCTTGATCGTCTCGGAACCCTTTAACGTTGAAAAATAAAGCGACTTTATTTCAATCATCTGTGAACATGATTCGTAGAGAATTACGTTATTGTACGAGTATAACCAATAACATGACGTCAACGTTACTCCGAATAATTATAATGTAATACTAAATAATTATAAATTGACCTTTGCGATATTAATAACGGATTATAAAAGCATATTATAATGTTAAATTATATGTAACGCTGCATAGGATAAACATTAATTTGAAATGCTATCATAGTATTCTTCGGTAATACCTACATAATTAAAATGTCTTGCCTATTATTCAAAAGCCAATTGCCATTTATTCAAAAGGTTTGATTTAACTTCTTCTATATTCGCGAATGAACGGAATTCCGACCTTTGAGAACGCTGCCTTAGTATTTTATGTACATCCGACACTGCTTGGGTAAAGACAAAGGTTTTACGTGTTAGAGCCTTCTTACTGGAAACGAGGCACGCCATCTTAGTCCTCAGTGGTGGCAACGCATCTGCATTTTGGTTCTTAACCGAGGATAGATGTAGATGTTTATGGGTCATAGCATCCACTTATCATCAAGTGAACTGTGTGCTCGTTTGTCACCCTTTACTATAAAAAAGGTGTCATTTTCATAACACCATGCTGTGGCAGCGTTAGAAAATGCACTACCCATATCAACCTGTTGATTTCATAAGAGTTGACAGAGTTAATTAAAACAGGAGAGAGGTAGCAGTATCTGACGACAAGTCAAAATAAATAACCGGCGAAGTGCGAGTCGGACTCCCACATGACGTATCACTACCATCGTAATACACGTTTCTAGTGGTGGGCCCCTTTTAATTTTCAACTAATTTTTATTTTTATTATTTTTTGTTATATCGACAACAGAAATACACATTCTGTGAAAATTTCAACTGTCTACCTATTACGGATCCTGACATACAGCCCGCTGACAGACAGACGTACGAACGAACGAACGGATAGCGGAGGCTTAGTAATAGGGTCCCATGGTATACCCTTTGGGTACGGAACTCTAAAAAGAAGCTTCGGTTACCATCCCATTTGCCAAGAGTGACAACTATAGCAAATATCCTCCCTATAAGGCAATCAATAGACAATGCTTATGTAAACTTTTGATAGACTGTATTTAATGAATGAATGAAAAATAACCCATGTCCACAAAACATTGTGCCAGGTGGCCACAATCTGACATTAGTGTGCACCCACGAACGTATAATATAAATTTTGCCTTATTCTTATATTTAGACTTACTACGATAATTTAATCGTCTAAAATGAATCTTGGCATCCAACACATAAGAAAGATTGTCTGTTTGTTTGCCCGAATAGTAGGATAGCACTTCTCACTCACATGCATACGTAACTTTCTCGATCACCTGGCAGGTAGAATGCCCCGCCGAAGTGATCTTTTAGGTTTTCTTTTTTTTTTTCAATATTTATTTTTAAGTATAAATAATATCCTGTCAAAATTTAAGCGTGCGTCAAATACCTTTTTTCAAATAAATTACAAAATAATTTTATACGACTAAATAATCTGGCTTATTTATTTTTCATTCTTTAAATATTAAATATCAAGGTGTGAAAAATTTGAAACGCCTCAAGGATATTTTTTGCAAAAAAAATTCAAATCTTTAAAAATATAAGGGTTGATTTAGCCCCGCTACTCCCCAGCCAGGTCTGCGGTTCTGTGTTTGGGTAATATAGGAGAAGTATTGGACAAGTTATCAGCGTGCCTCAAATACCTACCCAAAAATGTCTACCAGCTTACGAACTAGAAGGACGAGCAGGTCTTTTTGGAATTCATCACGTTATCCATTTGGACATCCAACCTCCATCCGGTCGCTTATAATTGGTCGTCCAAGGTCCTCTTCACCCCGTATTCTCTTATCACGAGAACTTTTATCGTTTGCAATTCCTTGGTCAAGATTATTATTTTTTATTGACAAGTCAAATCTCCACTAGACTATTGTCGAGATTTGACGAAAGTCCACTCTTAACACAGACCTCCCACCCCGCCGCCACTACAGCCAAGTCTAATATATTATTACCAATGTAAAGAAAGAAAATGATGTATCCTGCCCAGTTTTAAGGGGACCTCCCACCCTTCCTCAATCTGCGCAGGCTGACCGCTAAGTTGCTTAGCGGCTAGCCTCCGTCTATGGGTCATATCAACCACTCAGGTTAACTGTGTGCTCGTTTGTCACCCTATCCTATAAAAAAAGACTGGCCGTGACCGAAATTTGCTTTTGATATTCAATATTATTATTTTATAGCGTTCACTCAGCTGTTGTGCTACCACGCTTCCTTAAATTATTATTTAAAAATAAATAAAAATATTAGCAGACATAAATTAAATTTTCTACAAAATATAACAGTTAATTAAAACGGTATCATCCGAATGTCGCACATAAATTTTATAACCCAAAAATTCTAGTTCGTAACGCTCTAGTTCCGCATTATTACGTAGCGTTTTCAGTGTAAATGCGAACACTGACGTATTTTATGATAATCACATTAGTAATATAATATTTTAGCATGATGCGAAAATTATTGATAACTGATTTTGTACTTTATAATTAAATATCCATTAAAACAAAAATGTAATTTTTAGGATGCATTAGAAATTCTGCTTAGTGGACTGGTAAAGGGTCTGTAATGATGATAATGATATACCGTTATTGCAGTTTTTGAATATACGAGTGAATATGGCTTCTACTTTTCTTTTAAATTCATTAATCAGAAATTAAATGTGATTTATGGGCAACGACTACGCGTAAGCCTGCTCTTCTGTGTGCGATCAGTTCACAACGTTTTTGCCGACGGAGCGACACTTACTAATGTGTGCGTGCGTAGTAAAGTAGTAGGCGTTAGATGATTATAAATGACAATCAGTCAAAATAATGCATTACCACGCATTCTAATTTAAAAGTTAAAATTACATACATAATGTTTGAATTTTTTTTAATTAATTTTTCTTCACCACTCTCCTATATTACTTATTCTGAACCTTCTCTGCATATATTGCAAAATAACTCACAATTAAAGCACAATTATCAATATACATAATATTGTAAGTAACAGATGTTTCTAAGTAATAAAAAGTACATTTAAGTAATTTCCCAGATTAACGATATACTTACTTCACAACATAGACCTTAGTAAGTGGTTTTCTGAATATATTTTTTGAGCTCCTAAATAAATAAACATATCCTTTCGTTTAACTATTGCTTGGATAATAATGAAATACCCTTATTGATGTCAACGAATGGGGCAAATATTCAATTTTACGTTATCACTTCAAGTTTATGTTATTTCGTTAAACCTAATTCTATCAGTGAAATTAGTAATGGTATTCAATGTCATTTAGTATATATAATGAAGTTAGTATATATAAATAGAATATAAAATGTATTCCACTGCCTAATAATAAAACTGTAGGTACTAACTTGATCTTTCTTCTTCTCTTTAAAGATCAAAATGAAAAGCAAAGCTAACAAGCAAACATCCAGTAACATAACAATCTTCAAACACTCGCTATAATTAATATCGTGCAAATGACAAAAATAAGTAATTAACGACGGCGACTCAAGATTGGCATAGAAAAACAAAAAGAAATCAAGAATACATATTCATACACAGCTAAAATAATATAAAAAGGATTTAAAATTATTACATCTAATCTTATTCATCATCATAGCAGACATTGTAACCGAGTAATTGCGCGATGTATTAACCGTGTAGTGGATTTATAAGAATTATTCACTACGATATCGTCCCGTTTGTATCGTCAGAAGCGATAGCGGGAAACAAACCAGGAGATGTGCAGCAACATATTTCTGATAATAAGTCAAATTATTAAAAAAACACTACGGTTACCAACCCGCCTGCCAGGCATAGCAACTGTGGCATAATCCCTTTTGTAAGGCAATCTTTGGGGGAGGCCTATACTTTTATAAGCTGTAATGGATAGATGAATGGATCATATATATATATATATATATATATATATATATTTCATTTTGATCTTTAATCTCGTTATCAGTCTTTAAAAAGGTAAAGCTGGTCTATAGTTTTATTATTAGGCAGTGGAATACATGCGAAATTCCATACAAACAATTCCATACGAAATGCCATTGTATACCATTACTGATTTCACTGATAGAATTAGGTATTACGAAATAACATAAAGTTGAAGCAAGTTGAAGTAATAACGTAAAACTGAATATTTGCCCCATTCGTTTACATCACTAAGGGTATTTCATTATCATCCAAACAAAAGTTAAACAAAAGGCCATGTTTATTTATTTAGGATCTCAAAAAATATATTCAAAAAACCACTTACCACTTTTACACACTTTGACCTTATCACTTAGGTCTTTGTGGTGAGCTGTAGTGATGATGATTATGATGATGACATCTAATAAACTTGCATATCTATATATAATAAGCGAAATACCACTGACTCACTCGTTCATTACGAGATCTCCAAAACTATACGCCCTATTGACTTGAAATTTGACTTAATATATACTAATTTCTCGATGTAGACTGCGTGCCTAAGAAAAGATTTTGGAAAATTCAAACCCGGGGTGATGAAATAGAGTGTGTTTTAGCTTGTTAGATATATAAATTTTATAACATTGTAACCTGGACCATAAAAAAATTTAAAATTATTACATCTAATAAACTTGCATAGCAGATGCATTAATCATTTGACATTATAAAAAAAAACTGGAACATGAATAGTATAAATATTCAATCAAAATGTCAAAAAATGGAGGTTAATAGAGAAGTCAAGGTCATTTAGCTTACTATAACCAACTGAATCCAAATCTGCATCAAAAACTTGAGTCGCGTATTTTTTACTCCTACCTGAAAAGAAACATATGAAATTAGACTAGGGATAACATAAAATGATTACACACTATCAAAATCATCATCACAGCCTATCAAAAGTCCACTGCTAAATATAGGCCATCCCATAGCCACATGGGGTTATATACCACAGTTTTTTTTTATCATTTTGAGTTGTTTTCAGGAAAGTGTTGCTGCCCATCTCCCATTTCATTTCCCTCTGTCGCCTCTTACGACACGCACGGGCTGATATGGGGTGGAGGATTCTTTTACGCGCCTACTACATTTTAGTGGAAACTTATAAAATACTGCTACCGACCTCTAAGCTTAAAGGGTAACAACACCAAGCAACACCGAATAGTTCATACGTGGTAGAGCCATGCTGCAGCTGCATATTATGGTTGTAGCACGAATGGGTCGGCTCGATCGGGGAAGGACCACGCTCTCACAGAATACCAGCGTAAAAAAGCTGATATGTTTCGTATGGTGAGTGTAGAGAACCGGAGATCCTTTTTACTGGAAACGAGGCATTCCATCTTAGTCCTCACGGGTGACATCGCATCTGCATTTTGATTCGTAATCGAAGATAGATGTAGATGTCTATGGGCCACAGCAACCACTTACCATCAGGTGGAGTGTGTGCTCGTTTGTCACCCTTATCCTATGAAAAAAAAACCCACAGTTGTCTCGAATCTCTGCTTCCTTTCGCCTTTAAGTCTGGCGTAAACCAGATTGTTATACTGTCATGTATCACCTTGTATATACATACGTAATTATGTACACATATGTGTGTGTGTGTGTGTGTGTGCGCGCGTGTGCGTGTGCGTGCGTGCGTGCGTGCGTGTGTGTATGTGTGTGTGTGTGTCTGTGTGTGTGTGTGTCTGTGTGTGTGTATGTGTGTGTGTGTGTGTGTGTGTGTGTGTGTGTGTGTATGTGTGTGTGTATGTATGTGTGTGTGTGTGTGTGTGTGTGTGTGTGTGTGTGTGTGTGTGTGTGTGTGTGTGTGTGTGTGTGTGTTTTCACCTCGACACTCGCGAGTCAAAAGATGGTGATGGGTTATCTTATGCCGCTAATACAAGGCATTTCTTTAAAGAATGAGTAATATCCCCCTCACCACCTCAAATTTACGTTTATTTTTCTATGGCAGCAGGGTAATAAACTAGCACAAAGTTTACCTATTGTCAACTGGATGCTGTAGCCCATAGATACGTTTATTTCTCAATTACAATGTAGATCAACAAGTACAAGAATCAAAATGTAGATGCCAGATCCATCCCTGAAAACTAATTTGCAGCTAGCCTTTATCACCCGCGACTTCGTCTTCGTAAAAACAAATCTGCATATCTATTGGGCAAGTAAGTTCAGCTATCGAAAGTGTTTTTGATATTATCTCGAAAACTATGAACGATAAGGTAAAATGTAAAAAAAAAACAACCTGAACGTAAATTAATCTTATTCCTCTTTTTATCTTAATAATATTTAAATAAACGAAAAACATTTATTTATTAGATTTTTAGGTAAAAAAATCCGAACAAATAAACCTTTTTTTTTCGGATAAAATATAGCCCAGATCCCTCATGGCGGTACCAATACCCAATCGGCTCAATCAATAAGAAGACGCACATACATACAAACAGACTAGGCTATAATGAATGATTAAATGACTAACAAGCAGCCTAATTTAACGCCATTTTTGCTGTCTAAATTATAACAATTACCGTAGACATTTTACTGATCAGGTTTATGAAACACTAGCTCGCCTGGCAGACGTTGTTCGCCCTTTCTGGCTGATGCTTCTTTCCACACACGGACTTTTCTATATTTTCTTATTACGCGTATAGTTAAATCCTCTTTATGACTCATGGAACCATCAGCTGCCATTATGACAATAAATTTATAAAAAAAGGAAAACCCCCTTCTCTTTTACTTTCCGTAAGCGGATAAAAGTTGCCTATATGTTATACACAATTATTTAATATCTACATACCAAATTTCATGGAAATCCTTCCAGTAGTTTTTGCGTGAATCGTGAACATACAATTTATTTACAGATTTATTATATTAGATTTATTTGATAGATGATCAAAAAATTGCAGAGAAGTCTTATTATAGACTTATATGTAAGCGTCAACTATTTTTACATTTATACACAAAATTATTTCAAATTAAAATTATTATACAAAACTATTGTTTACATTTACAATTCTGGGTAAACTTTGAAACAAATTTTTATCGTTACGTCGTTTTATACACTTTCAAACATTAATTGGACGACTGCTAGGCTTTTGTGCTGGCAGTAGTGAGAACGACATCTCTCATTACGCAAAGAAAGAATTGTCCGCTTCGCGTATTTTTTCTACTAAAGAGCTAAATCCGACAAGGAAATCTTAAAATGCAGTGTTAAACTAAATGTCAGCATCAATTATAGCAAAGCCCGACTTAAAGCCGTAGCCAGCCGTGCAATGTCACTCGACATAAAGATTTTCGCACAAGGAAGTAAAACTCCCGTTTGCGAGTATATTTTCCTCGCATGGGCTTTTTATTCGACTCCTTATTAAGAAGGAACTGAAGAAAGTCTTTTCATGTTTTTGTTGGAAACGCAGTTTACGTGTTTTGAGCGTTTATTATTACTACTCAGTTTCACGTTGATCTACTTATACGTAAACATAACGTGTAGTGACGGCGTAAGAATATCCACTATCCCGTATCATCCCGTCGGTGTCGTAAGAGGCGACGGAGGGAAACAAATCACGAGATGGGGAACAGAGTCTTCCTAATAACGACCAAAAATAAAAATAAAACTGCGGTTGCCAACCTGCTTGCCAAGTGTAGAGACTTTGGCAAATATCCCCCTATGAGGCAATCTATGGGGGAGGCTCATGTTCAGCAGTGGACTTTAACAGGTTGTAACGGTAACAGTAACATAAACATATTAAAAATATATTTATGAAAATATTTATTAAATGAATATTTGTATTTAAACAAAGGCTTCAGCTTTTTATCATCCATTCACTACAGCCTATCGAAGTTGCTATTACTGAACATTGACATCCCTTATAGTAGACATGTGTCAATCGTGAAGGATTCGTTCATTTGACGCGGATAGCATCAGAGTATTGATGATTGCAATTACATTTTTTAACGTTGCTGATAAAACGATTGACAGGATCTACTACCAAAAAGTATAGTAATGTCTGACAACCGACATTATCGATCGGATCTCACAGATCATAGAGTACTGACACTCGAACTCCTTTTGAATGATTGACCTGAATGACCCGGTTCGTAAGACGAATCAGTACTTGTATGATCGGGTCACGAGAAATTAATGAATGACACATGTCTACCCCATATAATGCTTTAAACGTGGCAACTTTTACGTGGTAGAGCCATGCTGCAGCTATATTAATAGTATAGTTGTAGCACGAATGGGTCGGCTCGACCGGGGAAGGACCACGCTCTCACAGAATACCAGCGTAAAATAGCAGCTTAACGCTGCTGTTTCGTATGGTGAGTGTAGAGAACCGGGTACCTATTTTACTGGAAAAGAGGCGTTCTATCTTAGACCTCACGGCTGACAACGCATCTGCATTTTAATTCGCAAACAAAGATAGATGTATGTGTCTATGGGCCACAGCAACCACTTACCATCAGGTGGACTGTGTGCTCGTTTGTCACCCTAATTCTATAAAAAAAAAACTATGCTAAATACATTACCACGCTTGGCAAGCGAGCTAGCAAACGTAGTTATTTTTATTATTTTGCAGCTGTTATCAAGAAGATGCTGCTGCTGCTCTGTCGCCTCTTACGACACCCACGGTATGGTATATATAATTATCTATAGTGGAAATTCTTATGCCGTTAAACATTGACAAATAAAATGTAATTACTGAAATCTTATGCTGTTTATTCTGAGTTTTCTATTTATATGGATTCTGAACGATTATGAATCCTTTTTTAATAATTTTGTATAAAAAAATAACAATGTAAACATGACAAACTAAAGTTTTACTCCAAAATATATCTTCAATAATTTTATACGTTGTACTGCAGCTGTATAATAGTTGTAGCACAAATGGGTTGGCTCGACCGGGAAGGGACCACGCTCTCACACAATACCAGTTGAAATAGTAGTTTAAAGCTGTTGTTTCGTATGGTTCCCTGTAAGGAACCGGAGACCCTTTTTACTGGTAACGAGGTATTTCTTCTTGGTTCTCAGGAGTGGCAACACATTCTGCATTTTGATTCTTATGTAGATGTCTATGGGACACAGCATTCACATATCATCGGTTGAACTGTGAGTACGTTTGTCACATTTATTCTATAAAAAATTCATAAAACACACCATTACTAATATAATTCATAATAAAAAAAGAAAAAATAACCACGTTCGTTAATCACAAAACTATTTTAGAAGTTCCTGTTCTAATGATAAGTCCAAAAGAAATCGCTAAGTACTCGAGATAAATATGGTTAATGATAATGACGCTTCGCAAGCCTACATGAAACCTAAGGCTGCAAACTATAGCTTTAAATAGGGCTGCGAAAATTTTTTTGGGGCTTAAGTAATATATTACAATATTCATTTAATATTTTTTTATAGGATAGGGTGACAAACGAGCACACAGTCCACCTGATGGTAAGTGGTTACTGTGACCCATAGACATCTACATCTATCCTCAATAAAGACTCAAGATGCAGATGCGTTGTCAACCGTGAGGATTAAGGTGCAATGCCTCTTTGCCAGTAAAAAGGGTCTCCGGTTCTCTACACTCACTATATGAAACACAGCAGCGTTAAGCTGCTACTTTACGCTGGTTTTCTGTGAGAGCGTGGTCCTTCCCCGGTTGAGCCGACCCATTAGTGCTACTACTATACTACTAATATAGCTGCAGCATGGCTCTACCTACTACTTAAAGTAACTAAATTATGAAACTAAGCTAAACGACGTAACATCATCAAGATATTGTTGCATACAATTTTAAGTGATGAGTCATCCCAAGGTGAAGGAAAA